CTAGGAAAACGACCGGTTTTCACAAGGATTATAGTTTTTTTTCGGGGGTGTATTGGGCTCCCGCTACTGAAGCTATCATGTATGCCCTGCGGTTGCTGGTGGTTTGTGGGGAATGAAGTGACCGGATTTAGGGGTTGCTTTCATGGGTTATAAAGGGATGGCTACAAATTTCCATTTCTTCATGCCCTGCTAACCANNTTAAGGCTTTAGGGTTTTAGGGTTCCCTAAGCCCTAAACCCTAAACCCTAAACCCTAAACCCTGAACCCTAAACTTAAACCCTAAACCCTAAACCCTAAACCCTAAATGGGCATCTCCTGGCTGGTGATTTGAACATGGATCCCACATCTTTGGGTCAATGAATTGAAGTCCTTTGCTTCCGAACTCCGATGCCCCGGACCCTGCTTTCAAAACCCTGCACCCTAAATCCTTAAACAGAATTCCTACCATTTACATAGCAGCTTCCATTTTCTTTATCATTATTCCCTGTATAACCCCAATATACTATATACCCCCCCCATAAACCCTACCAGGATGTCATGGCAGTAGGGTGCTAGCTGTGTCTATGATTTTCAGCTGAGATGGTGTTCTGAGCCAGGCTCGACAAGAATAAGCAGCCTTACGTAGTGTGTGGCCGCCCAAAGCCAGTGCTCAAACAAGGTCAAACCCCACACCCTAAACCCTGAATCTTAACCCTAAACCCTAAATCCCTAGACCCTAAACCCTAAAAGAAGCCGCGGGGCCTGTCCCACTTGTTCATCTTCTGGGCTGCTTACAGTGCTTTGGGCAAGGTGCAAGGTTTTAGGGTTTAGAGTTATTCAATCAGAAACAGTTCAGGGGTTTAGGGTTTTGGGTTTACGAACAGTTCAAGGCTTACTGACGGCCCGCTTCACGTATCTTACTGGTAGTGTCGAGTTCTGCCAAACACGCGAGTCAGCTTTGTGCTTCAGCATTCGTTAGTGCCTTTGACCCTTCAGCTGCGAACGTTATACGTTTCATGAACTCACTGGGACTGCTAGTGCTGTAACTACTCCCAATATGGACCTCAAAATATTATAACCCTTATTATACAAGGTACCCCTGATTTCAGAAAATCCCCATAACTACCTCTACTGTTGTCAGTCGTTATTAGCTCCCTCCAGGTCTAGGTCACTCGACAGCCACATCCCTCAGTGCTCTTCAGGAAACATGTTGCATTGTCCCTCAAAACGTGGGTTCTTTACAATTTGTGACCTCACCGTGTGACCCTGACGTCTTAGACCCTTCCATAGCTTGACCTTACAGGTCAATTATGGGGTTTCCTTCCCTTGCAGGGCGTGAAAAAAAAGAAAACGTTTCTAGAACAGCTTGTAATCGTAGTGTCGTAAGACTACGCATCTAAGAGTTCTGACCTCGCTGAGGGTCTCTCTACAATTTACGTTCAGCAGTTGCATGAAGTTGTTACGCATGGGGGCATGAGATGGTGTAGAGTTGAGGTGATGATGCAGAACCGTTGACCATCGTACTTCAAGTTGGCCTGATTGAAATGACTGGGCTCATATAAGAAGCTTTGCCTGCAGTTCCTAGGTGAGGTACGATGTACCAAGGCTCCAATGGTTTAGTCACAGATGTTGGATTGCGTTCTGTATGTGTAACTGAGACAAGGTCCTCCTCTGTGGAACGGATGAAGGCTCGGCAAAGCACGCTACAGACGCTTGCTTGCATCTAGAGATGTAGGGTCTTGCAGGTATCACAGGTTTGGGTACAGGTTTGCGTTGCACGCTGCGCCAGTCCAATCCCAAACTTGAATGCAGGCAAGCTAGAGATTCGCATTGGTGCTGGGGGTCATGCACCTTAGTTCCTCTCTATTTGGTTGTACTGGAACTTCTGCCCGAAACATATTTGAAAGATTAATGTTTTCCATGTTGGGTTGCCGGCGGGGCTCGCGACCTCACAGTTGCAAGAACGCACGCCCGGACAGGATTCTGTGCAATCTGCTTTTCTGCCACCTCGTCGGTCTTGTCTTGGACGTCAGTGCTTCAATTTTTTCACGCTGTATCAGATGGATGGTGAGTCAGAATGCTTGAGGTCTTGCAAAGCTGCTTGCAGCGTAACATCTGCAAGGAGTTCCCAATGACCTGACAAAGCTGTCACGTCCATTGTTCACCCGCTGGTGGCTCCTCATGCTACCCTGTCGGTCTTACCTTGGACAGCACGTTATCAGGGTTACGCTTACAAGCAGCTTGTAACCACACCGCTAGGAAAATCATGGGAGAATCGATCCGTCATGCCCCGACTTGCAACTTTGACGGTCAAACCTGGCCGACTTCCAACTTCGGACGTCCGGGTTTCCGGCCTCGGCACCTGCGGGACTTGCAACTTCGACCTTCAAACTTGCAGGTGGGGCAGTTTGGGTTTTGCAAAGACACCTTGCATTCTGAATCTTGTTTGCTCCACTCTGAATCTCGAGAGGTCTTGCAAAGCTGCTTGCAATCCATCGTTTGCAAGGAGTTCCCAATGACCTCAGAAGGAGGCGGCCCATTGTTCACCTGCTGGTGTCATGGGGTCATGCAGCGATTTCTTAACAAGGCTTGCGCTGATAAGCCCAGTCACGGGGAATGCGACAACAAGCACCCTATCAGAAAAGACCTAGGTCTACATGCGCTTGCAGAGCTACGATGCTGACTGGGGCTACTGGGGTCAAGACGCTTCGGTGATGTGCGAGGGCCAGTTGGCGCCATGGCAGCAACAGGATTGCGATTGCAGGCTTGCTAGAGCGCTTGAGGGATGCAAAGCATGGAACCCTCAAATCTTCAGTATCTCGACATTTGCAGCATTGGCAACAGATGTGTTTGTGCCAGGGTTGGGATGCGTGAGGGGGTATAATGTAAATCAGTAAAAGATATGCAGATTGCCGAGGCTTTGGGTGAGCAGGGTTGGGAGTGCTTTGGTGTAAAGGTTGGGAGGTTTAGGTTTAGGTTTAAGGGGTTGAGAGGGTTGAGGATGGGGTTAGGAGCCATGGGGCGCTAGCATCGTCTGGGCAATTTCGTATTCTTCCATGTCTGTACTGCGTGCTTCAAAGTTAGGGAGAGCACATGGCGTCAGAGCTAACACAGAGTTTTAGCAGACATCCAATGAGCTAGAGCCTAAACTCCTTCAAGGGGATTAAAAAGAGGATAATACAGAGGACTATCACAGGAGTTCTAAGGGGGATGCTAGGAGTTTAGATTATGGCTCTTATGAGACTCCCTCAGATTTCCCGGCGCTCAACCCTAAAAATGCATCCCTGCCCTCCATGGTACTACTTATGGGTTTAGGGTTATATGCGGAATATATAGGGTTTAAATACGGATAATGGAAAAGAACATGGGAACTAATCTATTGTAATGGGGTACATATTAGAGTTATATGAGTCATAGTCTAAACTGCTTACAGGCGGGTTTTATAGGGTTCAGGGTTTCGGGCCCAAACTCCTTAAAAGGGGCTTAAATTGGGGACTATACGGGGGAGTATTATAGCGGTTATCAAAGGGGGTGCTAGGAGTTTAGACAGTAGCTCAAGGAACAGCTTGAATAATTAGGAAGACAAGCCCGTTCTAATCCTGACTTTTTTTACACAGCAAAGCGTACCCCCTAAGCCCTGTCCTAAGTCATGAAGTTTTTACATGGGCCGTCTCTCCACACGTGGGAATGCAGAGGAACTCTCAGATGACTGGCTTTGGGGAAAGCTCTGCGCCTGGAACGCGCAAGGCTTCAGCCTCTGTGGGGCGCTCAGTCCTCTTCTCCTCAGTCTTAGCAGTTTTCCAAAATTCCCCAGGACCCCCGCAAAAAACACCCAACTATAGAATCCCATGTAGAGACCCCAAAAAATCACTTTGCAATCCCAACATGTAGATTCCCAGTACAGCACTTGGGAAGCCTCGGTGTAGACCGTGAACCCTTATCAAAATTTCAAAGCCATCACTGCCTCAAAGCAGGTAGGCATAGACTTGTTTCCCCAATAAGCAGCATAACTTGCGAAGCTTCTTCGTCATTGGCTACGCGTATACCACGTCCCCCAGACCCCGGGCAAAGCCTGCTGATAGATGACAGCGCAGTCCCATGTGCATCTTATACACTTCTGCGTGCACAAACTACACTTCAGAAAGCCCTGTCAAGAGGACGGTACTCCTCAACACTAAACGCAAAACAACCCAAAACCTTCAACCCTAAGCCCGTAGCGCCTGCCCATGTGAGCTATTCGACCGCTGGATAGAGGTGGAAAAGAGTCGCCTGAAAAAAAGAAAAACAAAACCCCAAAGCCCTTTCCATTGCCTACTGACCAGTGGCAAGTCCACCCCTTAGCCTCAACACCAAACGAATCTCGGAGGCTGTGGCACGCGTCAAGACTACAAGGCAAGGAGGATTCACAAGCCCATGTATAATAAAGCGTACGCAAAGCCGATCTAGGATCACGGTACTGACGTTTCTGTTTTGCACAGTTCGGGACTGGGGAAGATGACCTTAACGACTTGCGTCTACCCTGCGTGATCTTATGTTTGTGTGGTGGAGTGGAGTTTAGGACCTAGTTGGAGCTCGCTAAGTTTTTCGTTTCAAGAGCTTTCAGGCTCAGTCTGTACGTTGGTCATGTAATTCCTTCTTGATCCTAGGCTTCCGAGAAGCCCGGTCATGGACACGCTAAAATGTGGGTCTCCGCAAATTAGGGGTACCATTTTGGTGGGCCAAGCAGTAAGGATTCAAGTCTACTGTCCCTATTGATTATTAGGGTCCCTCTATGTATGCACCAAATTACCATTCTCTCTGATACCTCCTAATCCCACTTTGAGGAGGCATTCTATAGTTGGGTAAATAGGCTTTAGGTTTTCGAGGTTTAGGGTTTAGGGGATTCTAGGGTATATGTAAGGGATATATTATATAGTTACATCTGGATATTTTTTGCACAGAAGCTATTATATCCCCTAACCAGCTAAACTCTAAGCCCTAAACCCTAAACCCATCCCCTAATAAGCCCATAGTACCGCTCTTGTAATCCTGTTTAAGTAGGTTACCTAAACCCCAAACCCTAAACCCTAAACCCTAGACCAAACCCTAAACCCTAGAGTCCCGCAAAGCGAAACTTCATCCCGGGCTCCGCCTTGCACAGCAAGGCGGTTTAGGGTTTAGAGCTTCAGGTTTAGGGGTACCTAAGGGGTTTAGGGTTTAGGTCTTAGGTTAGGGTTTAGGGTTTAGGGTTTAGGGTTTAGGGGTTTAGGGTTTAGGGTTTAGGGCTTAGGGAAAGAGTCATAATATGAACTTTACTAACCCCAGTTCTGTCCCTTGCTGACCTAATCACCTGGTCCCTATGGCTGTAAACCCTAAATTCTACATACATATCCTTGCATCTGTCTATAACACCCTTAAAGGGTCCGGCTAAAGATCGAATTGCTCTATTCATCGAGCCCCCCTGACCTTTCAAGTGGGGATCCCTGACAGAATCAGCCCAAGTCGGAGTCCCCCAAGCAAACTGGTTGTGGTGTGTGTGTGTGTGTGTGTGTGTGTGTGTGAACTACAGGCTCTTAAGTCTTCTTAAAGGGCTTACAGGCATGTATAGGGTTTAGGGTTTAGGGGCTGGAGAATCACATGCAGAAGCAAGCGGGAGGTTAAATGGCAACTGGGTTTTTAAGGATGTGTGGGTTTGAATGGTTGGGGTTCACTTACTGGTTGTTAGTAGGGACCGATTGGAAAGGCTAATGGAGACGGCTATGTTGTGGCTTATGCAGGGGCTACTATAGGGATCCGTTCCTCCATTCTCTGCTAACAACCAGCCAGCAAACCTCACACAAAAATCTGCAATATTTACCCCCAGCGAGCTGGCTTCCGTTCACTCTTGTTCGTTCTCCTTTGCTCATCCCTTCGGCCAGGGAATTCTCAGTGGCCATGCCTACACGCTCCTCCGACTGGTTGAGGCAAATCTACCTGGTGAACATAGACGAGGGCTTCCTATGGTGGTTTATGGTAAAACCCCATTATAGAACTCCCGGAAAGAGGCCCCTAATGTTTGGACACCCTAAAGCCCTAAACCACCACATAAACCTAGTTTTCATCTCATCTTCCCTTTTACGTTCCAGGGAATTCTCCCACTACAAAACCCAAGCCCTAAATCTGAAATCCTAAACCCTAAACCCTGGACCCTAAACCCTAAACCCTAAACCCTAAAACCTAAACCATAAACCGCACTTCAGAAGTTAGGCTTTTCGAGCTTATGGGATGCTGGTGCCCAAGCCATATTCTGATTCACTCCATACAGGGGTATGTTAGGGTTATGTTGGGGTTTAGGGTTTAGGGTTTTATATTGGGATAATGGAAAAGAAAAATGGAAACTACTATAGTGGTGTTATATGTGGATTAGGATTATAGGTTATATGTTGTGGTTATGTTGAGATAATGGAAAATCAGCTGGAAAGTACTATATTGGGGTTATACTGGGGTATACTATATTGGGGTTATATTGGGATAATGGAAAATAAGCTGGAAACTACTGTAGTTGGAGGGGTTATATTGGGATAATGGAACATAAAATGGAAACTACTATTTGGGGTTTGGGTTTACAGTCTGCCAAATGGGGGTTTCCGGTACCATATTGGGGGTCCCCATCAGAGGGCTTATAGTATTTTGGGGTCCTATATCGGGGTCTCCCCATTTAGGGAAAGTACCAGATTAACGTGGCACTCCAACCCGACTACAATCCGATTCAAAGGTGCAAATATGTGGCCCTAAACCCTCAACCCTAAACCCTAAAGCCTACGCCCTAAATCCTAAGCCTTAATCCCTAAACCCTAAACCCATTTCTGAACCCATTCTGGTTTTGGGGAGGGTGGCTGTGGTACTACAGCCAGATCTGTTTTAGAGATTACATACAGTTGCCAGGGCTGCTTCAGGGTTTTGTGAGGGTTTATAGTTACCTTTAAGTAGATAGAATATGGCTTTGGCTATAGTATAATAAGATCCCCATATACCCCACATTCTATCTACTTAAGGGGGACGATAGATTCTCCTGAAACCAGTTCAGCAGCCTTTCGGCACACTTCTTTGGTTCACGCTAAGGGCTGCAGCACTGGTTTAGGCGTCTAGAGTCGGAGGATCTTATGCAACTGGGCCATCAAGAGGGTACAAGGGTACGGACTTGGCTCCTCTTCGCAACCTAGCCCAGCCATTAACAAGGATGATAGTCTATGGGGATCTGGCTTCGGGCCCGGCCCTATAGGGGGAACTCATGGGTATGTATGAAGTCAGTGTATCAATCATGCAGATTTGCCAGGCGGAGGGATTGTTACAGTGTGGGTCGGAGCTTCTTGCTACTTGTGGTGGGTTCCTGCATATGTGACATATTTGTAGGGCAGCTTCCAGACCCAGAACTTTCCACTTGGCGTGTAGTTGTGCGTGGGGTTAAGAGGATCCTTAAGTTCAGTATTAGCAGTAGCTACATCCAGTTATAGTTCAGTTTGATTATTTGTGTTCAGAAGCCTAAATCATGCGCACGAACCCATTCGAGACTTGATTTTTGTGGTTTTAAGATCTTAGAACCCGAAGCTCGAAACCCTACACCTGCAACCTTAAAGACCCTCAACTTTAAACATGTGGAACCTGATTTGGATGCAGACTTGGCGGCTAACGTCATTCTTCTTCTTGCTGGTTTCAAGCAGGGAATGAAGGAATGGAAAACAAAAAGGAAAATGCCAGGTTGAATTCGGGTTTAGGGTGTAGGGTTTAGGGTGGGAATGAAGCATTGGAAAAGGACATGGAATCTACAAGGTTCAAGTGGGGATCATGTAGGTGCTGCTGTCGGGATCCATCCCTTGATTCGCACGTTTCGGGTTTAGGGATTCTTCATCTTTTTCCCATCCCTTACCTGTCTATATGAACCCCTAAAAAGGTACCCTGATTTTGGGCAACCCTAATCCCTAAACCCTAATCCCTGAACCCTATATATCCCCTGTAATCCCTTTAAAGGTGCCTCTAACGTTGGGAAACCCCCGCATGGGCTCAAGCCCAGCCCCACCCTAAATTGCAGTGGTCAAGCCAAGCTGAGGCATCCCCCAAAATATGGACAGTCTATTATCAAAAGTCATGTGGCTGGTTGTCAAAATTATGGTCCTTTTTTGGGTACCCTAAATTAGTGGCCGTATTATAATAGGGATCCGAAAAGGGACCATAATTTTGACAACCATCCATGTATTATCCGGATTCATGTTACGATTAGTTTTAGTACTCTGTTGAATCATTGTTATTCTTATTATCAGTACTATTGTTCTCTAGAATTGTGCCTATTCGTATTCTCTTCGTTTTCAGGAGTGTATAGTCCAGCATTTCCTGCTCGGCGAAATGGCCACGAAGACCTGCAAGTGCAGGTGCCCATCCAGAGGGATGGAAAGTCCTCGATGCTTCGTCTACTTCACGTCTTCCAGCTCAGAATCAGGGGTATAGGTTTTGTGGACCCCCCACCCTGTAATAGCGGTATAATAGGAGGACCCTCATATCGCTAGGTGAGGTCACACCTAAAGTATATGCTAATGGGCGGAGTATCTGGAGTTTAGGGCTTTATCGATGTGAGGTGAAAAGTCAAGGGTTTGGGGCCCGTATAAAGAGTTCAAAGTTTATTCGACTGCTCATGCCCATTTTGCAGTTGCTTAAAAGCTGTTCACATGGGGTTTTCCTCTTTATTCCTTGCATTTTGGGACCTAGGATTCTCGTAAAATTCTGCTGTCGAAGCATTAGAGGTGCAGGGTTCAGCGCTCAGCGCTGAAGATCTGCCTGAGTCATTGCTGGCGGTAAGTTCCCTTTTTTTCATCAAGGTCCAAAAGCAGTCATCATGTGCGGTAGCATCGCAAACCAGACGTGATACACTACAGGGCGCTGGGGTTGGAGTTCAGAGTTCAGGTCTGAGGCTGGGGCATTCGAGTTTGAGTTTAGGGGTGTGCGTCGGAACGTCACGGCTCATCTGTTCTTCAGCATAGAGTAGGGTAGTGAGCGAATCTCCAGACTTTGCGTTCATTTGTGACTTCCTTGTACTTGGTACCATACCGTTTGTGACGCGTATAGTCTGGGGAGCAAGGGGGGATGAAGCCCATGTAGTGTGCTCTTGGCAAGGAAGATTTGGTTTGCTACAGAGACGCTAGAGAGTTTTTACAAAGGCTGACGTAGGATTGCCTCGTTCGGAAGCTGTAGAAACAATGCTAGAGAACTGTTTTGTTCTTTTCGCAGCTTCCCCGAGGCTTGTCCTGTTAGAATGATTTTTGAAGCTAAAAATTCAAGGTTTCGAGTGTTCACCTTTGTTTGTACCTTGCCTTCTAGTTACCAACCAGCAAGAAATCCTTAACCTTGCACCTCAGCCCCCGGCCTGCCTACTACCTACTGAGCCGTAAGCCCTTAGAACTTAGTGCGCAAAAGTTTCCTGACAAAAGCCATGGCTTCCGACTGTGAGAATGCGCTAGGATCCCTGAGCTTTCTGGCCACATGCAATGGTAAGAGCGGAGACCGATTTCGGTATGCCGACCCTAAAACTTTCAAGAAGAACAGGTCCTGAACTTACTGGTTCTTAGTAGGGAATTTCTCGAAGATATTATATAGGGATTACATAGGGATTATTTTCCCTTATTCCCTACTAAGAACCGGCAAGTCAATTCAAAGAATTGCCGAGATCCGGAACCCGCACGCCACCAATGAATGGTTTGGCCGCTTCCATGACGACGACTGGGAGACATGGAACGCATATCCCGAGGCACAAGTTGTTGAACTGCAGGTTTTAGGGTTATATAGGGGTATTGACCCCTAATAATGGAGAATCAAACGGAAAATAGAATGGAACATGAAATGGAAACTGGGGGCATATAGAGGTTACCCTCCGTTAGCTGGGAATGAAGGAATGGAAAAGAAAATGGAAACTACTAGAAAGGGTTAAATAGGGACTACTATAAGTATCCATTCCTTCATTCCTAGCTAAGCAAAGGCCAGTGAACTGTGCATTGGGAACGATCGCTTCCTCTCCAACAAATGTCCGTAAGCCTAGTGACAGCAAAGGAGGCATAACTGTGCTTGTGGACAAATGTCCTTGTTTCCCGAAATTCCGCTGGTGGAGCATCAGAAACAAGGTGGCTTCTTTGAAATGAAGCGACATTGATCGAGAACCGACCAAAAACATATTCTGATTTCGACGCACCTCGTTAGAGTGGAGCAAACCTCCAAGCAAGAGTAGGGAGAGGGTTCTGTGTGCTTAAGATACATCTTGGAGTCAGTTCTGGAGTGTTTGTACTCCTGCATTTTTTCATTTTGGGGTGGCAGTGGCATGAACCGATAATTGTGGGTGCTGTTTGTGTGATCATCGCTAGCACAGTCTCATGTTTCGACTTGTCATTCGTCATCGTTTCGACATGATCTTGCGGTTGCCAGACAATGCCCTAAACCCTAAATCCGAAGCTGACACAGTTTAAGTTACAATCGACTGTTCTACCATGCCCAACCTGCTTGTTCATGAGCAGCGCGTGCCACCTGCCTTTGGAGATATTTGTGACATAATGGAAGTTGGGTGGTAGAACTCGTTTCCTGAGCGTGTCTGGACTTCATCGCCGGAACCCAAAGACCCAGGAACCAAAAATGCAGCCCCGGATCTCAGTCCTGGACAGGCTCTGAAAGCCACAGGGCACACCGTTGGCATCAAGGACTGAATGCAGTGTAGGCTTCAAACGAATTTGTACGGGGCTTGAATAGACTGGATATCGCCATGAGACATGCATTGAACAACTAGCGTCTTAAACTGGGTTGCTGTTAAGGAATTAACTTTGGTTACCATGATGGGTATATGTAGTTATTAATAGGGTTTCCCAATATAGGAACTTCAATTCAGTCCCTTAAGCCCCTATATTCCACCAGTTTCCATTTCATTTTCCATTTTCTTTTCCTCTTGATTCTCCAGCATTGGGGGATAATATCCTAATAGCAACTTAGATTAAGTTCCGTACCCTAAACCCGAAACCCTCGGGCTTGTCGGTGGCTAACGGCTGCTAAGGGGTTTAAATTCCCTTGTATGGGGGTTTCCCCAAATTGGGGTTTAGGGTTTAGGGGTCTTTATAATAAGGACTATAGTATATGGGGGTGTATCTTGGGGTACCCAAATTTTGGGAAACTAGTATATATTCCCTAGTTTCCGTTTTGTCCATTTGATTCTCCATTTTGCCCCCTATAAATGCCTATATACCCTTTTAAAGGGACCTACGGCTTCCATCTCATTTTCCATTTCCTTTTCCATTTGATTCTCCATTTTACCCCCTATAAATCCCTATATGATCCCACAATCAGAACGCGACTGTATCACTGTTGTAGGGATGGGTCATGAATCTCTGCATCCCCTCAACCCAATATCCTCAAACTAGCCCCAAACCCTATATTGCGATGATGGAAAAGAAAATGGAAATATTACAGTATATTGGGGTTACATTGGGATGATGGAAAAGAAAATGGAAACCCTAAATAGTAGTTTCCATTTTCTTTTCCACTATCTCCGTTGAATCCCTCTAGAATCCCTATTGCAGCTCTTGACTTTAGTCCTCAGAGCCCATAACTGCGCCAGGACAATGGGGTCTTCTGGATGCCTTGGGATGAGTTTAAGGTGGGCTACGAAGACATTGCCGTGAACTTCGACAAGAGCCTCAGCGCAAAGTCTTTGGTTTGATGAGTTCAGGGCTTACGGTTTAGGGGTCCATGTTGGGGATCCCTTTCTTTGCTGCACAGAGAAGGGTTGAACTTCGTGATCCTCAATCTGAGGATCCTATACTAGCTAGGCACCCCAAATGGTAGGCATCCCAGAAGGGAGCCCACATTTTCAGACATGCCCCTATACTCCCCTTTTGGACGAGCATCAGTTGCCGCAAGCTTGACTCGTATCCTCAAAGATTTCGTGGCACTTTAGTACTGAAGGGTTTAGAGTTTGGGGTCTGGGGCTGGGGTACATGGGGATTCGAAACAGTCACCTTTTTCCGGATTTTGAGCTCTAACCAGTTCTCCAGACGGACCCTCCTGAACAAGATCTCCCAGCGTCGCTGAGCACAAACTGCAAACCCTAAGCCCTAAA